ATTATTACCCCAAACACACACATATATATGGTCAAATCTATATATTACTACCATAAGCTCAATATATATATATATATATATATATATATATATATATATATATATATATATATATATATACATACATATATATATACAAACATATATACACATATATATATATACACATACATATATATATATATACATATATACATACATACATATATATATATATACATACATACATACATACATATATATATAGTTTACCTATATGAACGTATAGTAGTACTATATATATAATATTACTATACGTTCACATACACACACACACACACACACACACACACACACACATATACATATACATGCACAGTACTACATATATGATCAAACATATTAAACTAATTAATCTACCTATATTTAAATTTATGATGAGCAAATAACATATATTTTGTAGGTAAATTAATATTGAATCAAATAACATTCTTTTATTTTGTAGGTAATTTATTTTCCACATATTATTACATATATTTGGCACATTTTATTATCATAAGATATATGTACAAATAATAGGTAAATTAATTTTGAATCAAATAACATTTCTTCATTATGTAGGTTTTTTTTAATTTTTTGTATGTATCATCATTCCGGTAAAAAACTTATATCGGGTTTTATGTGGAGAAAATTAAGTTTCAGGGACTAAAGTCATATTTTCAGTAATTTTTAGTTAGGGATTGTTTGATAACTATTTCGTTTTTTTTTTGTTTTCATTTTTAACTTTTTTAAAAATAAAATAAAAGTAAAAACAAAAGGGTTATTAAAGTATTGAAAAATTACTGATTAAGTAAAAACAAAACAGCGCATGTATCCATGCATGAAGCTATATATAAGATGAAACATTACTGATTAATTTTCATATCAAATATTGTATCATGATATCTTCTGTTTTAAAAAATTGAAGTAACATGAGATGATGAGAGATAATTGATCAACATTTGGTTTGCCTTCTGGATCTTTCATTGTGTGCATCGTTACGTTCTATTTAGTTGCAAAACCTAAGATCATTAAGGACCAACACTTTGATCCATTCAATCTTTGTAAGCATTTGAGCATTAACAGTTAGCAAACGATCATTAAGAAATATTTAAAAATCAATCTTCTCAATACTTTTAGGATGCAACATTACTGATTAAATTTCATATCAAAATTTTTGCCATATTATCTTACAGGATGAACGACATGTGGTTTTACCTTTTGGATCTTTCACGAGAAGAAAGCTATTGGACACTATTGTTTCTTCTCAAAAGAAATAAAAGAAAAGAAAAGAAGAAGGCGATTGGGCTTTCGGCCTTCGTGCAATTCTTTGAAAGAGCCCAAAGGTAGAAACGAAGGAAGACCGGACTACGTGCTTGTTTGCATATCACTGTTACCGCTGTTTCTTCACTCCCACTTGCAAATCTACCCCAACTCCTTCAGCCAAATATCAATTTCTGCAGAGTGATTTTGAAACTTAACTTTCTACTCCAGCTTCCACTCTAATTGAAACATCGTCGACAATCGACACACATAAATAAATTACTAGTTACTAACTTGTGTACCAAGTTTGAAGCCAAAACGTGGTCGTGTACATAATTTGTGTTCAACATTGCATTGTTTTACGGTTACTATATAACACAAGAATGATGATATAAAAGTTGCTACTCCTGAAACCGTGGTAGCATATATAGCAGGGGCCTTGTCTGAAATCAAGCATTGCATGCATCATGCATTTGCCAAGTTGAATGTCCATGTTCCGGCCAAATCCAAGTAAGTTTACAAGTTTAGAACACTAGCTAACTGGACCACAAAGCAATATGGAAATTTGGTATTTAATTTTACAAAACTTATTGACGAATGAGAGGCTTTGAGATTGGTTTTATAGTTCAAAACTTGTTGACAAGTGAGAGGCTTTGAGGTTAGTAGATCACCACAATGTGCCTTTTTTTTTACACCCAAGTTTTAATCTGTCTCTATCAAGTCAAGGAAAATTTAGGTATGCTAAATCAAAGTAAATTTAAGTATTATTTACCATAAAAAAGAAGAAGGTAAGTTTAGGTATTTGAATTGAATTTCTCCAAATCAAGTAAATCTCAATAAATGCCCTTTACGTTTAGAGGATTTCTCGAGTTGTAGTTGAAGCTGAAGCCCAAATAGGAAATTCCTGGTGCCCAAGCCTAGTTTCCACCTCTCTAAGTATGTACTATATATATATATATATGTGAATTTATAAATGTATGGAAGATAAAAAAAAAATTCGAATAATTTTTATAAATGATAGGTAGATTAAATTTGTCAAAAATTTTATTATGTTTCGGTGCATAATATTTGTTAGACAATAGATGATTAAGATTGTTGCTTTTTTTATTAGGTCGAAAGTCTAAAGAAATCGACGGTGTAAAAATTGGTGCATATAATCGAAAATCCTAATCATATATATATAATTTTTTTTTTGAGGAAACCTAATCATATGAATATATTGAAAAATAAAATAAAATCATACGAATATAAAGTACAAATGAAGGGAAATGAATGCGCCAATGTAACATTGCCTGTTTAATATTGAAAAAAGTTGATTTGTGGCCCCGCAACAAGAACAAAATAAAGATATAAATTTAAACCAAATCCGTGGTTCCCAAGCAAACAGAGAAATATAAGAAGAGAGAAATTCATCGAGAGAGCAAGAGAGTAACTATACAACTAAATTATTCAATTTGAATTTGAGCTGCTACGATGCTCTGCCCCCTCCGCCGCCTCCCGAATAGTTCAACTTCAAACAACAAGCCCAATTACGCTTCCACAACTGCAACAACAACCCTTGCGTTGATCTGTACTTCCACTGCGCCAAGGGACAGGACGCCATGTCCACCGTGGAATTCCACGAAACTCTGATGAACCAAGTGCTTCCCTCGGCCTGGTCGCACAATCCTCTAACTACCCTCAAACTCATATGCAACTTCATAGACAAACGCGGCAACGGTGGAAAACGCAACCAAGACAAAGCTTTCTTCACAGCGGCGGTTTGGCTCTACCAGAACCACCCCAAAACTCTTGCCTGCGATCTCGTGACAATTTCTGGCTCCTTCGGGCATATCCTAGACCTTCCATGCATTCTTTCGCAGGTTCTACCGGGCGAAGCTCGCTTGAAGTTCACTAGGAGGATAAGGGAGGAGGCGGATTCAAAAATGGTGAAGGTAAAGGAAAAGGATGCCAAGTCAAAAGCAAGCGACTTCTTGTTGAGGAGGAAGACGATCCACAAGGCGGCTCAAAGAGATACGACCGCTTTTTGCACGATTGTGTTTCAGATATTTTCGCCCAATGCCTCAAGTCTGATATTGAAAAATTGCATAATCACAATGATCATGACCATGACCATCATGATGATTACTGCTTGGAGATTACCCAAGCGGCTACCTCTTTGCCTTGTTGATCATCATATGTTGTTCGAAAACATTGCAAGGAAGGTTTTCCCGCCAGAATCATGCCGCCGAGAAGGGGATGGTAGTGTTTGTTGTATTGACCGACTGAGGAAGGAGGTTTTGTCGCCCTTGAGAAAAACTATGGCGCCAAGGGGCTGGGAACCTGCCAATCGGTGGGGTTATAGAGCAGAGTACAAACGAGAGTAACTGGCTGCAGCCAATGAGATTGATCCCGACGATGATGTGCTGCTTCCGCATGACATATTAAGTTATATCAAGTATCCCGATATCGAGCAAGAGACTGATGTTAAGTGGAAGAAAATGGTGGAGGTCTACTTAAAGGAGGGGAAGCTGAAGAATTGGTTGGCTGTGTGTGATGTCGACAACACCTTGTCGGCGGGTTTGGCTTTAGGGCTTTTGTTGCCTCAATTGAGTGACGAGCCGTGGAAAGGAAAGGTGATCGCTTGCAGCAAAAACCCTCGGCTGCATTCGATACAAGGCGAGGATCTTAATTTGAGGGCCAAATATATGCAGACTTTGATCAAAAGCCAGGACTGGACGGCTGATTTCGGGAAGGTGTTCGATGTGATTCAAGAAGGTGCTTGCCTTGACCACATGCAAACACTTCTTGACAGGCAGCAACTTTAGCTTAATGGTGGGAGACTAATTACGAGGAAATACGGAACAAGTATAAGAAGAAGGGGTATGCAGATGTGGTGCCACACCTAGTCATTTGGAATATGATCAAACCTGAGTACTCGGCTGGGCATTGTAGAGAACCAGAACCAGGGGTGACGTTGTTGAGTGGCTTCTCGTACAAGCTGCTCGAGTTCTTCTTAAAAAATGATGGTGACATTGGCCCCAACCATGACTTGGAATCAGCTGTATCTGCCCCAGCCTATCAAATTCTTGCAGTAGTCGACTGACTGACTCGCACAGATCACTGGTGTGAATGTGTTCAGCTATATATTTCTTGGGTCGTAAAAGTTCCTCTCCAGACCATTGGTAGGCCTTAAGCTTTCATATTTTTCTGTTATCCTCTCTCCTCCATTGTTATCTTGCTTCTCAAGGTCTTTCTTTTTGTTCTGCAGATTAATTGTCATCCTTGTCCATAGAAATCATTATCCATTGTTTCCCGTATTTTTAATGGTGGATTGAGCGGTTAAACGCTATAATTATCTATCTAATCATCTATTTAAGTCATCATACTAATTAGTTTGGTTGCTGAGTGAGTTTGCTTAAGGCTGATTTGGTATTGCTGTACTTTGAAAGAAAAAAATCTGCTTTTGTTGTGCAGTAAGAATAAGAGGTTGTGAAATAAAGCAGCAGAGTGTTTGGTAAATTTTTTTGTAAAAGTGCTTTTGGAAAAAAAAAAACAGTATGATAGTGTTTGGTAAATTGTTATGTAAAACAACTGTAACTGTGTGAAATGATAAAAAAAAGTACAATACTAGATGTGCTATTAATTTAATTTTCTTAACAAATAAAAGTGAATTATAATATACTTTATTTTTAAAAGAAAAATATTTATAAACTTTATCTTAAATATTAATTAGCATGACAAACTACTTGAATTGAAATATTTTAGACTGAATAACTAGAATTCATTAGATTTCACCTTATAAACGGGGCCATATCCTCCCTCTCCTAGCTTATTTGAAGGATTAAAATATTCAGTTGCAGCTCTCAATTCAGCATAACTGAAAGTATATGGCCGGGGGCCTAATCCTAGAATATCTGCACATTCACGAAACAGTATGACATAAGTTTTACTTTTGTGAAAGCATTCTTACTTCTGTGTGTTAATGTCAAAGCAGAGAAACCTGAATTAGGTACCAGTAATGATATGGTCGTTTACCTTCATCATCTTCTTTTTCTGGTTTTTTCCTCCTTATATATAGAATTGCAAATATTAATAGCAAGCTCACAACTCCAGGAGGAACATCAATATCGACTATCAACCCAGTCTTGCTCTTCTTTCCTGGAGTTGTTGGTGGAAGCCCGGAAACTATTGGTGTAAAATCTGAGTGATAAAACAGACGAATTCTTCAGTGTCAATTAACAGTAGAAAAATACATTTAAACCACTCACAGGAAATCTCTATAAGTTAACACATACTATACCTGAAGCAGCATGGAGAGCTCCTATTAGTGGGCCGTAATCGCCGTAATTGGTGTAATCGCTGGAATCGCTGAAATCGCCATAATCGGGTATGCAACAAGTCCCTTTACCAGCCCAGAACAAATGAATTTCAAGATAATTCTCTGACACACTAACATTAAATTTTCTCGCAACTGCTCGCTTAACACCACCTGCCTCCTTCAATATGTCAAAGTCCTTCATCCTGCGGGTACCCTAGCAACCAAATGAAGACGTAGGTAACACTAGCTTTAGTTAATGTAGCTTAAAACATCGAAAACCTGTCCAATGAGGTGTTTACTTCAAATAAGTTAGAATTTTTATTCTATAAGCAGTCTTACCTGAATATGGATATCAAATACACGCCGTCCTAGACTTTGCCAAGTTTGCGAAGTGCGACTTTCATAAACCGTCTCTGCAAAGTGCAATGTTACAGTGTAGGGCCCATTCTCAAGGCCCAGGCCATAGTATCTCAGTGATCCTGGGGACACTCTTGAAGTTTGGAAAAGCTCCGGGGTCACATCTGTTCCGGTGACTTGTGCAACGGTATTAACCAGAAACGGTGGGTTCTCTGTTTCAAAAAACAAACCGGCATTGCTGACAGCCCATTTCTCTGTACTGGTTACACTGAATGTTGCTGGGCCAAGAGCTGAGTCTTCAGTCTCATACAATATGTGATCACGTCCCATCATTTGCGGTCCACCACAGTTGATTGAGAAGTTTGCATCTGTAAGTTTCGTGTAATACCAGAATCTTCCCATGATTAGTGATGAAACTTCAAATTGAAGACTCATACTAATGTTCTTCAGTCACATATTTCTAACCAGTTATGCGTATTACTGAACTTATGAAAACATGCTTGCAATCTATATCCATATGTATACATAACTAGAGAAGCAATGCCTTTTCCTCTAACATGAGGTTGCGTTAAAATGGTAAATGATTGGTGACATAAGAGCAGATTACATCGTGGGGTATTTCGATTGCATGGAAAATTTCTCTGGAGGCAATTCAATCCAGGAAAACTGCAAACACAGAGAACAATTATTAGTTATCCAAATAGAGTCATGTAGTGGAAGAGTAGTATTGCTTGTCTAAAACGAGTAAGAGAAACTTCAACTCACGTTATGTTTGAACTGTCAAATGTGAAGTTGTTGACCACTAAGTTCCTGCATAAAATCATTAATCAGTCAACACATGAAGAACTATATCTTTATCAAATGAAAATTCCATGTACAAGATCAAAACTTAGTAGGCAAGTAGCACTGTGAAAACGAATCTCAGCGATAATTTTTTGTGCGAACATATTCTGGTGATTTAAACTGTAAAATGAAGGTGAAAGAGAAAAGGACACGTACAGTTGTGGTATTGTGGTCACCCACTGGGGAAAGCTTCCTGATAAAAAATTGTAAGACAAATCTCTGCAAATAACAAAATAGAATCAGAAGACACAAAATGCATGAAAGTTATTAAGAACTTGTGTAAGATAGGATTAGAATGCTTACGATTATACACAAACACATACATGCACCGTGCATTCTATATGACTACTTTAAGAAACAAGGACTTACATAGTCTGAAGTTGATTGCTCTTTCGGCTCGGAAGAGGTCCGGAGAGACTATTGTTTCCAAGAAACCTGGCCATTTCGATTATAGTAGAAGGCACCCAGAAAAGAAAAAGAGATGAGCAAGAAAAATTTCAGATGTGCACAAAATGGAAGGATTAGTCCAGATCTTCAATCAAAGTAGGGAATGTTAAAGATTTGATAACTTATGTATGATAAGGCAAGAAAAAGATAATAATAAGGACGGGGATTACAAGGATGTAAGAGAACGCATGTTGAACAAAAAACTTGGGAGTTGGCCTGTCAAATTGTTGAAACTCAGATCCCTGCACACCAACGATAAGTTGAGAGAAGCAATCAGAATGAAAGAAAACTAATTGGTCTCGTTGGGACTGAAACTTATATTTGCTGGTACGTACAGTGTCCTTAGACTTTGATATTCTCCAATATCAGAAGGGATGGTACCAGTGATTAATGCGTTTCGTAGTCCTCTGTATTCCAAAAACATAAAATTTGATAAAAAGAAGATGGAGTAAGATATCAAATTTCAAAAGGAAGAAGAAGTTAGATGAAAGTATCTGAATCGATGAGAATCTTCACTTACAATTCAGTCAAGTTTTTCAGATTTTTTATGAAATCAAGAGAGGAGCTCCCATTGTATATATCACTGATTAGCCTACATCATTATATGCAAAATAAACTGAAATCCCGTCTTCGGAGAAAGAGAGAGAAATACAATTTATGAAACATATGTACTTACAGATAGTTCAATGAGGTCAGTTGAGAAAAGCTGGTTGGTATTGGGCCTTCGAAAGAGTTGCCTTGAAATTCCCTACAGAAACATATAAGAAGCTTGTGAACAAATTATCCATCTCAGGTCTGCTTTCATAAACTGCAAAAGATCAAAGGTTTTTGTACTTACAAATGATAGAGTTGTGTCCAATTCCCTATGAAATCAGGTATCTTTCCTGAGAAAGGATTGTCCGATGCCCAGCTAAAATTCAAAAAGTTGAATTATAGTAAGCTCATCCAAGAAAAGCAATCTCAAAGTACTGGATAAACGAACAAATATAAAATACGATTTAAGAGCCATTCTTACACGACTTGCATGTTGGTGAGCTTGGCAAATGTTGAAGGAATTTCACCACTGAGTCCACAGCTGTCTACGTAGCTGTGAAAATCATAAGGCAATTGATGAGTACCCATTTCATACGATAAAGCGCAACTTTTGCTCATCCGTAGGGAATTAACATGTCATTCCAATTTGATGATTTAACGAAGCACTTACAGTTGCTCGAGCTTGACTAAATTACCAAGTTCTGCAGGGAGTGTTCCGGAAAAATTATTTGTTCCGATGCTCCTGCAAGTCATGTTGAACGGGCAAACACTTACTTGAAAGCAATTATTGAAGAGTGATAGAAGGTTCTGTTGAATTGTAAGTCTATAACTGATTAGGAAATAAGTTGTGTATCAAATTTGTGTATCCACTTGAGTTTAAAATACCAAGTGTGCAGCTCTAATGTAGTAAGGCAAATAATGTCAGGTGTAATGATCCTAGCAACTAGCTAGATGTAAGGCTGAGATTGTTTTGTGAAGAGAGAGAATCCACCTTGGATTCTAACGGTTATGTAAAGCACAGAGTGTGTGTGAATTGTAGAGAGATGAAGAGAATATGCTCTGCTAGATTTTGCAGAGAGAGAGAAACCTTCAGAAAATTCTTCTATTGTTATCCTTCTCATTTTTTGTTCTTCGATTGTTCATTCATAACCAGATTTTTAGCTTATAACAACAGGTTCTGTATCTAATGTTTACGACACAAAATTTTATTGTAAGCTCTCTAATTTTTCATGGCTTACAGCATAGTTAGCTCCTTAAGGTTTCCAAGCTCCTTGGGGATGGGCCCAGAGAATGAATTGATTCTAATTGACCTGAATGGAGATATCAGTTAGTGAAAGATAAGCAACATTAAACTTAATTACATTACATAACAGGAAACTAGTACTGCATTATTCAATAAAAGCATAATGATTTTTTGTTGATAACGGCATAAATAGTAGCGAAATGGTGTAAAGAACCTAACGGTAGATTATGATATTCAAAATGAAGTACACAAATTGCTACGGGTCTCATCAAAAGTATGAGTACTTAAAGAAATGTTCTCTCACTACTTACAATACAATCAATGCAGACATATTGCCAATGACCGCTGGTAGGGGACCGGTGAAATAATTCTGATTGATCCACCTACAAAAATTGAAAGGAAGTGTAATCGTTAACTCTTAATCTTACAACATCACCATATTTTGGTTGAAATCCCACATCGGCTAGAGAAATAAAGAAAGAAGAGTTTAAATATCCAAATCCCACTTCAATTAATGCCGAGGCCTATTGAAATAAACCCCACACCTGACGAATTGTGTAGGTGGTAATTACCAAGTTGGAGACAGTATAAGTGATGTTGGAAGTACAATTTTTAATATCCAATATATGATTTTGATGAACCAAAAACAGAGAAGGGAGTTGGAAAAAATTCATACAAAAATGTGAGATATCTCAGAGCCCCAAATTCTTCTGGAAACACCCCTCGTTTGTTAAGAGAATACACTTTCCTGGAAAGCAAAAAGATTGAACATTTAGAACTACATAAAATGGAGCGACACAGTCAAATTATGACGTTAACATATATAGGTAGCAAGTGAAAAATCAACAGTGGCATGGAAATCTTGTTCATCAAGAGAGAGTAGTTTAACATACAGTTGGGTGATGTGGCATGTAGCATTATTGTCGTAAGAACAGTTGCAAACGATGGCTGGGTTGATATCGGGGCTAGAAATGGCGGTGCCGTTGATGGCAGATCCACTGCAGGGTTCTCCACTGATATTCCACAGCCCCGGCACTGCTTGTGTGTCCCATTGTTCAAATATTGAGTTCAACGCCCTCACTGCACTCTCAGTTAATTCAGTCCTTGTGTGTATTATATATATCACACCATAATTTGACTGGTGTTACTACTTACTAGACTATCTCGAACCAAACGAAAGATCAAATTGATTATTACAAAGGAAAATTACCCTTGATTTTTGGATGTTTTGTATATGGGAAGAAAAAGGGTTTTACAAATAAGTTCCTCGAAACTTCATTTCATATAGTCGAAAAATACTTAAAATGTCATTTTGTTGAGGGAAAAAAGGCCAGTTCCTGGTCAAAAACACTTAAATGTGGCAAAGTGTGTGTGGGGGGGAGGGGGGAGGGGGGAGGGGGTGGGGTGGGGGGGGGATGAGATAGAGAAAGAACCTTCAGACGGATCAGTGATAGGATTTTGAGCAAAGGACAGCTGAAACCAGAAGCAGCTGAGGAAGCAGAGTAATAGTATCCTCATCATCAACTTCATCTTCATATTGTACATGTGCAGAACTTGCTTTCCTCGACGGCGTGAACTTAAACGACCAACACTTATATTCCGACTGGCTGAATCATGCATCGCATGTAAGAAGAAGAAGACCATTAGATTTTAGTCGTATATTGACAACATATACATATATAATCTTTATATATGAAGCCAATGGCCCAATGAACAGTGTTTTTTAAGGGGGTAAAAGATTGTTTACTACTCTCATATTTCGTGGTTTTCAACATTTAATACATCAAGTTTTTTTCGTCTCATAGTCATACCTAAAGTGTAAATTTTGGGACAATCTCATACCTCTGTTAGTCAAACTGTTAAGTCTCCCATTAACTGTGACGTGGTGCTCATGTGGACAATGATTGGGCGCAATGTGTCATCCACGTGGAAATTAAAAATAAATTATTTATAAAATTAAAAAAAAATATATATATATTAAAAAAAAAAAAAACCCTTCATCTTCCCCAGATTCGGGGGGAAGAAGAAGAAGAAGAAGAAGAAGAAGAAGAAGAATGAGAAGGAAGAAGAGGGAAGAAGGAGAAGAAGGAGGACGAAGAAGAAAAAAAAAGTTGCAGTCGGAGGAGGAGGAAGAAGAAGAAGGAGGAGGAAGAAGAAGAAGAAAGAAGAAAAAAAAAAAAAAAAACCGAATCTGCAACCCAGATTCGAAGGAAGAAGAAGAAGAAGAGAAGGAAGGAAGAGGAAGGAGAAGGAAGAAGGAGACCCACTTTTTTGCCAACTATGAGTCGTGGATGACACATACTTTATGTTTTAAATATTGCAATGTTATACCTCAATTTATGAATTCGTTGCAATGTCAGACTTCTGTTAAATTTTTTGTCAATCTAACTGTTAAAGGATGACATGAAAGAAACGAAACCCACTTTTTTGCCAACTTGAATAAAAATAATTAATTAATTAATAATAAATTATTAATTTGACAATTAAAATTAACTTTAAAAAAAAAAAAAAAAAAACCTCCTCCTTGTTCCCTGGAAATCGTCCCCGTTCCTGCTCCCATCAGTCCTTTCCTCCGCTCCCCTTCTTCTTCGTCCTCCTTGAACACAGCTAATTTTCGTCCTCCTCCAGTAACAACTGATACACCGCCGATCGCAAAACGCAGGTGGTTTCGATGGCAAACCAAAACCAGACCCCAAATAAGTGGGTTTTGATGGCAAACCAAAACCAGACCCAATTCATCTTTCTCCAACAGTCTTTATAAAACTAATTTGATTTCTTCATCATAAGTTCACTAATATTTCGCAAAACTGAGCATTAGAAACCATCCCCTTATCATTTTCCCTCTCTTCAAATCCCATCACCGACTGGGGCTTTCGCCCCACTGCCATTTCTTCAATTTCTTATTCTTCACCATTTTTCTATGAAAAACCACCAAATAAAATTGCAAAGGGAGAGTTCCAGAAATCCAAAACGAAGAACCCCACAAAAACAAAACCCAAAACGAAAAACACAAATACAAACCCAGAAAATTCAAGAAGTTAGAGAAATTAATTTTTTTTTTAAATTAGAGAAATTAAATTTTCAAAAATTCAAGAAGTGGCCATTTGAAAATTCGCCCAGAACTCTGGATTTTCGAAATCCTCCATAATATTAATTGAAGAATGGAAGTTCATTACAGTCCAATTTTTTTCTTTTTCTTTCCCCTTTTTTTCACCATTTTCTGGGTTACCACCACTGCCACAGATTCGCTTCCCCGATGCGTGTCAACCTCTACACCTTCTCATTTCCGTCTCCGTCCGTTCGGTTCTCCATCAACCACCATTGTCTTTCTCCCAACCATCATTCGAATCGATCCACTACCGTTTCAAAGAAAACCGGACCGATTTTGGTGCCGAAGAAGACATGTATATGCTCGCCGACGTCGTAGCCAGATCATTTCGTTGCAACCTCCACAAGAACCAGGGAGGGAGTCAAAACAACGGATCTTTCCCGTCGAACAGATTGAATATGTGCCCATCTGAAATGACGAACTCGCTGGTCCGAATCGGTGGACTCAAAGGCGGCGGATGGACGAGGAAGAAGGGGGACGGATGAGGGAGTGAAGGGGACGAATGAGGAAGAAGGGGAACGGAGGAGGGAGTAGAGGGGAGGAGACGATTTCTGGAGAAATGAAGAGAGATTTTTATTTTTATTTTTATTTTTTAAGTTTAATTGTTAAATAAGAATTAGTAATTTATTATTAATTAATTAATTTTTTTATTCAAGATGGCAAATGAGTGGGTCCCAGTCCTATTACTTCATCATTTAACCGTTAAATTGACAGAAAATTTAACAGAAGTCTGACATTGCAACGAATTCATATATTGAGGTATAACATTACAATATTTAAAACATGAAGTATGAAATTGTAGTTCGATCGATAATTAACGTAATTTTATGTAATTTACTTGTAATATATTTCGTCCAAGTTGCATGATCAAATGGCGGCCACTTTTTCAATTTCCCACCTGAAGTTGGCCAAGACTTTGTTCATATTAGTTGAAGGGGTTGAAGAGGTGTGATATTCACACATCTCATTTTACTTCTCACACACCCTTGTTAATTTTTGTCCGTTGATCTTCTTCCATTCATCCGATCCGACGATTGAAAATTAGGGTTTAAAATGATAATTGAGTGTTTGGTTAGTAAGATACAAATATTGGGATAAAGTTTTGAAATACACATGTTGTAATATTACTAGGGCACATCAGAGGTGAGTAAATTTGGGTACTTCCCATTGAATACCCAAGTATTGTCCTTAAAAGAAAGGCAGCTACAAAAGATGCGACTTGTTTCATACATTTTCCCCAATTAAGAAAGTTGAAATTCAACAATAAAATCAAGAGTAATGTTACACTTACTACCTATTTATATCATCATTTATTTTATCTCTCTAATAATGGTAGTGTCAACCAATGCATGTGAATCCTATCTCTATTAGATAGATAATATAAATAATTGTACAAATATATAGTAAAAATAGCATTTTTATAAAATTAATTGGTAATATAAGAAGTAATCCAACTACTTATAAACCCTTATATAATTTAGTTTTTTTTGTCCTCACATTCTCACACCCAGTTGGGTGACCCAACTTTACATTTGGACCAAGTCTCTGCATACGCTTTCCTTCTCAGCAACTTGCCGTTGTTGAATGTTCTCATTCACTTCGGGATGTAGATAACACTAGCTCATTATATTTCATCTTCCATTAATTGTAACGATAGTAATATTCTCATTAAAATAATTTCGCTCTATTTTATTTATTTATTTTCATCTGGTATACATAATTTGAATCTTTTACGTTCTTTTTAAAAATTAATTATATTAAATTCAGCCAAATTTAATAATCTAATAGTCGTATAATAAATAAACAAACCATGTTATTAAAAACTGAAATTTTGACTGGAAGGAGGATGAAGAGGAGGCTCCATGAGATGGGTGGCCATGGCGGTACCCATCGTTATGGCACTGCAGTGGTTCAGATCACTACTGAAAAAAATGGCAGTGGTTGTGTTTTGTTTAAAAATGATGTGTGTAATCATCTACTCTAAGTGAAAGACTCTTGAAGTGTCATCTGAAAGAAAAGCAACTTCAGGTGAGGCCCAAGGGAGACAAAAATGGTCTTGTAACCCTACCGACACGTAATTGGACGGTGGAAAATCATGTGGAGGGACCTTTTTATGAAAAAAAAAGAACAGAAATATCAAAGAGAATATTTCAAAATAGAATATTTCATCAACTCTCAAACACTTCATCTTCTTTATATAATTTATATATCAATATTATAAAATATCATGTCAAGAAAATAAGGTGAAAGAGAATACAAGTAAAGCACGTTGACGGCTAAGATTGAAGTTTCACAAAAGATACATATATGAATACGGTCGAGATCATTGACAACTTCTGTGGTTCATCTTCTTTATATAATTTATATATAAATATTATAAAATATCATGTCAAGAAAATAAGGTGACAGAGAATACAAGTAAAGGACGTTGACGACTAAGATTGAAGTTTCACAAAAGATACATATATGAATACGGTCGAGATCATTGACAACTTCTGTGGTTCATCTTCTTTATATAATTTATATATCAATATTATAAAATATCATGTCAAGAAAATAAGGTGACAGAGAATACAAGTAAAGGACGTTGACGGCTAAGATTGAAGTTTCAGAAAAGATACATATATGCATACCGTCGAGATCATTGACAACTTCTGTGGTGGGTACTGACTACTGATACATATTGAAACATCTAAACCCAAGTCAACCTCCTTGGGTCAACAAAAGAAAAAGTCATCCACGTCCATTAAGTTGATATAAATCGTGCATCCCAAAACGTGTGGCAAAAACGTGTGGTTAATTTGTAAAACCAGGCACCCCGTTTATTTTTATTTCAAATTTTCAGTAACTACAAACAAAAAACAAAATAAAAAAGAATGAAAACTATCGCACTGTAGTGACCTTAATCTGATGCACACGGTACAAACAACAGAGATCATACATCATGAAGATTCAACTTCCTCAACGTTTGCCGTTCGCCTTTGTCTTAAAGGAGGGATTGAGTATTCCATGCCGGTATCTGATGACGAGATATTGGATGACACTGAGGACTCCGGGAATGAGCTTGTAATGTCCATCTGTACCCATAAGGCCTTTGAAAGTAAAAATGCAACAAATAGAACCATGAGGTAGAGAGGGTTCCTGTTTCATTTGAAGAAAAAAGGCACAGTGATTAACATATGTGCAAGACATTAGCGTCTGGACACTTAAAAATGTCCAAAACCTAAAACTCGCAAAGGGAAACAAAAAAGAACGAAATTAATTACTTTAAAAGCATCATAAATTCGTTAAAACCAAGAACGATCATCGCCATTGTAGCCCATGGCGGAGGTAGCCCGTTGTTACTCCGCTTGTGAGCCTCCTGAAAGTACAAAAGCAAACAACATCATGATCGAGCAGAGCTATAAGCATAAAGATAGGGAGCTCGTTACAAAAATAGTATTAGGATGCTAGGATTTTTCTTTGTAGAAAAAACAAGAATACACTGAACTTGATTATAAGTCGGTCCTATCTGACTTAAACCGTTCCCAAGTCAAGAATCAGCGCGATTTTCAATATGAAGTGTTTCCATATGTTTGGTTTCACTACTAAACTAAATGGTTTCACTACTAAACTAAATCCAATTTACACAAGAACTCCCGCCCAAAATGTCATCCGAGGACAATGCATGCGTCCTATTTCCACGTTCCTCCTACCAGTTGTTCATTACTTTTGCAGGAACATGTTCCAATCTTCATATTTTCATAATCCAAATCTTTAAAGAACATTTTATAAAAGAAAAAATCCATTTATTCGGGATGCAACTCTGATTAAACGATATAAAAACAATTCGGTCTCTGCTTTGAACTGCCTCCACAATGACTTGCACTGTACTGGGGTGATTAAGGTATCCTTTGAAGAAACCTAGTTTAGAGTTAACCTCAATAAGAAAGGAGTTTCATCATAGAAAAATTTTGCATAAAAACCAAACCCATAAATTAATGGTAGCTCTTCCCAAGAGCTTCAGTCAAGAGGATCTGTAGAAGGTCCTAGTTTCCTATTTTGTGAAGATGAAAACTAACAGTCCCGTCCACGAGAGAAGAAACGAGGCCATTTTCAATATTATCTGGCTTCTCATCCAGGCGAATGGCAGCCATGGTCGACAAAAGCTTCAGAGACTGCAAGAAAGAGATGATCAAACAACTAAAACATCAGTTTAAGTCAGAAAGATAGATAACATGTACTTCCACAAAAGTTCCCAGTGATTACCACAGTTCGTGCATCCTTGCTAATACTTCTAGGGCCCGTTTGTTTGACCGGATTAGGGAGGACTGGACTGGACTGGATTGTAGTCCCTTGTTTGGTCTGTACCAGGATTAGGTTTAATGGGATTAGGTCTGACTCGCTAGGATTAAACCCCTCACTAGGAGTTCTAAGCGAAGCACCCCGATCACCCCCGGACTCGTAAGACCTCCTGCGCTCCTGCGCTCCTGCGAGAGAGAACCTCGCTCAACCTCGATCCTCGCCGTGCTCCCTCCTTGCCCTGCTCCCTCATCGTCGTCCTCCTCATCCTCATCTCTGCATCCTGCTCGCCCTCATCTGGTAAACTTCAAATCCGACATTATTTCTTCGATTTTTTTTTGCAGATCGTGATATTACTGGGCTTTATTTGATTTAGGTGTTTTGGGTTTGATAAATTTTCAATTATAAACCTCTGCACTTGAACAAATTAGGGTTTTGATTTTTAGGGTCAAATTGAGATTAGAATTTTCAATCATAGCTTGCCGTTGCTCTGGGCTTCGATTGATGGTTGATACATGCTTTTTAAGTTTGTATATCTTTTGATTCTGGTTTTCTAGGGTCTGTAGGTTTTAGATTTTAATTTCTTAACCAGTCAATTGTTGATTTGGATTATAAGTTACAAAACATTGTTGAGTTATTGCAAACACAAATGTATACACAAACGATCCTGGCTATATTACGCCAACAATCAGGGGTTTCCCTATCATATGTTGCCAGAGCGTATTCAGTATATGTTGGCATTAAGGCCTTGTTTAATTTGATGGCATATTGGATTGGACCAAATAAACCACTAAAAATTCAGTATATGTTGATTCAAAACGCAGCAGTCAACTTTTCGAACCTTGTTCAAGTTGAAAGTTCTGTATTAAAGTTTCTTACTTGTTCATAATTTTACAGTCAACATTTTTAGAGTGATGATGTGTGTTTTCCAAATTGTCTGACTGCTAACTCTGCATCTTGAATCCAAGTTTTGACTTGCGTTCTTATTCCGGCATTCGGACTTTTATTTTTCTTATTGTACATAGTTTATTATTTTATGTTGATGTTCAAATTGCTTGTTTGTGATTCTAAACATAGAATTTAAACTTTAATTCCCTGAATCTGGTCATTTGCTCTTTTTGTTGTCATTTTATAACTGAAAAGTAATATTATACATGCAGAGGCTTGATTTTTTTATCGGAGAGGATTCTTTCATTAGCTTTTGATGTGATTTCATCTCTGTTGAAACAGGGCCTGTAAGTTTTCTGATTAGTAAGTTTTACTGAATAAAGATCACCAAAATTCTGCCAACTTCATTCGTTAGGAAGTGGAACTTTGGATGTTGCTGGATCACAATTTGTTACTTGTTCAATCCACTCCTCTTAATTGGTTTTTTTTTTCTTCTTTAATCGTAAATCAGGGATGGAGAATAGTTTCTCCACATTTTTCATCTCTGTTGGACTCTGCAATCTTTCAAGCATTGGTAATGAATGAAAAGGTAAATTTCATTATCAGAAAAAAATGGGAACATATATATTTTGAAACCTGAAGTTATAAGTTGAACTAACTCCTGTTTTTCTGGCAATTTTTCAAGTAGGATATCGTAGTGTGGGAAGAAGATGCAGATGAGTACATACGAAAGAATCTTCCATCTGACATAGTATGGAAAGTTTATACCACATTTAGTGTGTGATATGTAAGACATTTTATATAGGTATGAGGTATTACTACCAGTTGCATACTATGTGTGTAATATATGCGGCGTTGTCTTATGCTTAAGTGCTCTGCCTAAGATGTAAAATTGATGGGGTCTATTAGAATTAAACCATATTCGCCTTTTGGATTGCACGCCTGAGAATTCTGTCCATTTTTTTATCTTTCATGTAAAATACTTGACTTTTAGTGGAAACGAATGCATGCTTATTTATCATGAATGAATACGTAAGGTATGAGCCTTGCTCATATTTTGACATATAATTATCAACACACAAGAAAATTTGGAACAATGCTACTTTTGAATCATGTATGTTTCTTTCATTGGCAAGAAAATTTGGTTTTTGTATTTTTATTGAGTCTCACTCTCATCCTATATTATTAATTTTAATAATATCTGTAATAAAAAAACAATTAAAATAGAACAATAATGTAGTTCTAGTCTGAGCAAACACCAAACTGGTGAACAGTATTGTTTTCATTATCCTGCTTCTTAGTCCGACACTGCACCAAACGCTTCACTAAGCTAGTCCAGCTTAGTCTAGTCTAAGCCAGTCCAGCTTAGTCCTTGCTGCTAGTCCAGTCCGAGACAGTCCGGTGCAACAAACGCACCCCTAATGTCTTCATTCCCAGTCCAAACCCTAGGCATTGAATCTCATAATTGAAGACTGGCAAACCTGAGAAATGAAAACAGAAGTGATCAGCAACCAAAATAACAACGTAAAAAAGAAAAGATTTTTAACAAGTTCCTACCGATCCTTCATGTGGATCATAATTTTCCCAGCCTCTTCTCTTGCCTTTGTCTCCACCACATTTCTCTCATAATCCTTCAAAAGTTGCTTCATTTTGGCAACCGTTTCGTTGTCCAACTCAAAATTGGCAACTGCAGTTGAGAACTCTGATACTGCAACTTCAGTCTCACGATTAAGTTGTTGAATTATAAGTCTCTAGCTGATTAAGTATTAGAAATAAGATGAGTTTTAATGTGTGTATTCACTTGAGCATATCTGCCAAGTGTAAGGTTAAATGATGTAAGGCCATGAGTGCCATGTGGTATTTGATCCATGTAATTAGGTGATGAGTGACTAAGATTAAAAGTAGTGTTTTGTGTGGTCCTAAAGCTAAGGCCATCAATTAAATGTAAAGCAGTGAGAGTGCGCATTGTGTGTGCTGTACAAAGATTATTCCTCTGCAATACTTTTGCATGAGAGAACAAAAAAAAAAAAGAAAACTTTTCGATTCAGCTTCTTCTGGTTTTCTGCTTTCTTGCTTCTGTTCAGCCTTCTGGAAATTAAAACCCAGCTGAATCAAGATACACTAACATGGCCTCAGAGCCTTGTTTCGATTAGATCTGGGCGTGTTTCTGTGAGCTCAAACATCACCGTTTCTGGACTCGGTGAAGTTTGCCGGAGCTTATCTGTGATCTAAGAACTACGTGTTTCTGGATTCACACAAGCTCACGATGGCTGGATCTGGGAGTGCTGAAGTGAGGACCCCGATCTTCTCCGGTGAGAACTACGAGTTCTGGAGAATCAAAATGGTTACCATTTTCAAGTCATATGGACTGTGGAATCTGGTGGAAAAAGGGATTCGATGAGAAAATGGCTGCAACCTTCATGAAAGATGCAAAAGCTCTCGGAATCATTCAAAACGTAGTCTCTGATCAGATTTTCCCTCGAATCGCAAACGCAGACTCAGCAAAAATGGCATGGGATCTGTTATATGGCGAATATCACGGTGGGGATCAGGTAAGATCTGTGAAACTCCAGAATCTTAGAAGAGAATTTGAATACACTAGAATGCGTGATGATGAATCCTTGACTGGGTATCTTACTCGGTTAAATGATCTGATTAATCAAATGAAAACGTTTGGTGAAACTATGTCAAATGAGAGATTAGTACAGAAGGTATTAATCAGTCTCACTAAGATATATGATCCTATATGCTTAGTGATAGAAAATACCAAATGTTTAGAATCTGTTGAACTGCAAGAGGTACTAGCTATATTAAAGAGTCAAGAGCAGAGGTTTGATTTGCATTCCTCAGATGCAACTGAGAGAGCATTTTCTTCTCTTACTGTTAGTTCAAAAGGGCAGAATCGAAGTTATGCTCAGTCTAGTACTTTTAAACCACAGAGAAATTGGAATCAAAAGGGTAAGAAATGGGATTCAAAACCAAAGTTTCAGCAAAGATCATACACAAATGTTGCACAGAATAGTACTTCCTCACAGGGTATGGGTCAAGAGAGTGTAAAACCTCAATGTAAGGTGTGTTCAAAGTTTCATTATGGTGAATGTAGATATAAGGGGAAATCCAAGTGCCAACTGTGATAGATTTGGTCATTGGGCCAGAGAGTGTACTGTTGGAAAGTCTGTTCAAAAGGCAAACTGTGCAAGTCAAATGGAAGTAACAGGAAACTTATTCTATGCAAATTGTGCAGTTGCTGAGACTAAGGTTAATGGAGATTGGTACATAGATAGTGGCTGCAGTAATCATATGACAGGAAATGTTGATCTTCTTGTTGATGTGAATACAAATGTTGCAGGGAAAGTTCAAATGCCAACAGAAGGGTTAGTTAATGTGGCAGGAATGGGATCACTGGAAATTGAGACTAACAGAGGAAGAAAATACATTCGAGAAGTCATGTACCTACCTGGTTTGAAAGAGAATCTATTAAGTGTAGGACAAATGGATGAGCACGGATATTATCTTGTGTTTGGTGGACATATGTGTACTGTTTTTTATGGTCCTTCTCTGAAATGTCAAATTATCCGTGTAAAAATGAAAGAAAACAGGTGCTATCCTCTATCTCTAAGGCCTGAGAAGCAACTTGTGTTGAAGACCAGTTTTGCTCATTGTTCTCTGACTTGGCACAGAAGATTAGGCCACCTACACTTTGGTGGAATCAAGAAATTGAAGGATAATGACATGGTTCATGGATTACCATATATAGATGAGTATGACAAAGTGTGTGAAGGCTGTCAATATGGTAAGCAACACAGAGAAAGGTTTCCTAGTGGTCAAGCACAAAGGGCTGGTGCTCCACTTGAATTGGTTCATGTAGATCTGTGTGGACCGATGAGAATTGAGTCTACTGGAGGAAACAAGTACTTTATGTTGCTTGTAGATGATGCAACCAGGATGACATGGGTGTATTTTCTTAGATTTAAATCTGAAGCTTTTACTTGTTTTCAGAAATTCAAGGCTATGACTGAGTTGCAAAGTGGAATGAAGGTAAAATGTGTAAGGAGTGATAGAGGAGGGGAGTTCTTATCAAATGAATTCAAGCAATACTGTGACACAGAGGGGATCCAAAGGCAATTGTCTCTCTCTTACACTCCACAGCAAAATGGAGTGGTTGAAAGAAAAAACAGAACTGTGATCGAAATGGCCAAGTCTATGCTTCATGACAAAGGAATGCCTTACTGTATGTGGGCAGAAGCTGTGCATACTGCTGTCTATCTGTTAAACAGATGTCCTACCAAATCACTGGATAGTATAACACCTTTTGAAGCTTACAGCAAAAGGAAACCAGGCATTGCTCATTTGAAGGTTTTTGGATCAGTTTGTTATGTTCATACTCCATCCGAGTTAAGACACAAGCTAGAACCCAAGAGTATAAAAGGAGTTTTTGTTGGATATGCAAAGTGTGAGAAAGGGTATAGAGTATTTGATCCAATCTCTAAGAGACTGATTCTGTCAAGAGATGTTGTGTTCGATGAAGACTCAGCTTGGGAATGGGAAAGAAGCACAGAAAGATATATGTCACTGCCTACTTATGAGTTTGACTCTGTTGATACACAAAGAAGTGAAAATGCAGAAAATGACCCTCAAGTTCCAAGTGATTTATCATCTGGCATATTGGAAGAATCTGCAAGTGGTATTGATGATACACAGATAAATTTTCAGTCAAGTGCAGGTGTGAATGACACTCAGTTTTTTTATCATACTCCATTAAAATGGAGAAAGCTGGATGATGTTCTTGCTCAGTGTAATCTGTGTATTATAGAACCAGAGAAATATGAAGATGCAGCTAAGGATGAATCTTGGATGAATGCTATGAAGGATGAGCTCTCCATGATTGAAAAAAATGAAACCTGGAAGTTAGTAGATAGGCCAAGTAACAAGCCTGTAATTGGAGTAAAATGGGTGTTTAAAACCAAGCTCAACCTGGATGGAACTGTGCAAAAGAACAAGGCAAGGCTTGTTGCAAAGGGATATGCACAGAAACCAGGAATAGACTACAATGAGACCTTTGCTCCTGTTGCTCGATTAGATACAATCAGAACCCTTATAGCATTGGCTGCACAAAAGAGTTGGAAACTCTATCAACTTGATGTCAAATCGGCTTTTCTAAATGGTGTTCTAGAGGAGGAGGTTTATGTGGAGCAGCCTGATGGTTTTGTAGCTAAAGGGGAGGAAGACAGGGTGTATAGACTTCACAAAGCCTTGTATGGTTTAAAGCAGGCACCACGGGCCTGGTATGGAGAGATCAATACATACTTCTTACAATGTGGTTTCACAAGAAGTTTAAGTGAACCAACACTATACATCAAGGCAGAAGAGAAAGACATTTTGATTGTGTCGATCTATGTGGATGACATAATCTATACTGGGAGCAACAAACAAATGCTTGAAGAATTCAAGGAAGACATGACACGAAAGTATGAGATGACTGATTTGGGTCTTCTCCATCATTTCCTTGGAATGGGAATAATTCAATCAACTTCAAGCATTTTCATTCACCAAAAGAAATATGCAAGCTCTTTGTTAGACAAATTTGGTCTAAAAGAGTGCAAACCTGTGCTTACTCCATTGGTTGCAACTGAGAAGTTAACCACGGATGATGGAAGTGGTGCAGCAAGTGAAGAGTTATACAGAAGCATGGTGGGAAGCCTCTTATATCTCACTGCAACCAGGCCTGATATTATGTATGCATCCAGTCTGTTAGCCAGATTTATGCACTGCCCTACCAGTAAGCATGTTGGAACTGCTAAAAGAGTGCTAAGATACATCAAGGGTACACTTGATTATGGTCTGGAATATGTGAAGGGTAAGAACTCAATGTTAATTGGGTTCTGTGACAGTGACTGGAGTGGATCAATTGAGGACAGTAAAAGTACTTCTGGTTATGCTTTCTCTTTTGGCAGTGGAGTATTCTCTTGGGCATCTGTGAAGCAAAATTGTGTTGCTCTTTCCACTGCAGAAGCAGAGTACATCAGTGCTTCAGAAGCAACTACTCAAGCCATTTGGTTGAGATTTGTTCTTGAAGACTTTGGAGAATTTCAAACCGAAGCCACTCCAGTGCACTGTGACAACACCTCAGCAATTGCAATCACCAAGAACTCTGTGTTCCATCAAAAGACCAAACACATTAACAGAAGATACCATTTCATCAAGGATGCACTGAAGGATGGCATCATTGATCTGGTGTACTGTCCAACTAATGAGCAACTTGCTGATATCTTCACAAAACCTCTGCCTAAAGATCGGTTTAATTATCTCAGGAGCATGCTAGGAGTGAAATCAGCTCAAGACTTAAAGGGGAGTGTTGAATTATAAGTCTCTAGCTGATTAAGTATTAGAAATAAGATGAGTTTTAATGTGTGTATTCACTTGAGCATATCTGCCAAGTGTAAGGTTAAATGATGTAAGGCCATGAGTGCCATGTGGTATTTGATCCATGTAATTAGGTGATGAGTGACTAAGATTAAAAGTAGTGTTTTGTGTGGTCCTAAAGCTAAGGCCATCAATTAAATGTAAAGCAGTGAGAGTGCGCATTGTGTGTGCTGTACAAAGATTATTCCTCTGCAATACTTTTGCATGAGAGAACAAAAAAAAAAGAAAACTTTTCGATTCAGCTTCTTCTGGTTTTCTGCTTTCTTGCTTCTGTTCAGCCTTCTGGAAATTAAAACCCAGCTGAATCAAGATACACTAACATAAGTAGTTT